AGTGTCTGCCGATCGGTACCAGGTCCGATCGCTCCCCAAGCTTTTTTTTTTCTTGGCGGCCTTTTGTTTTCTCTGTCTGCGATTTGTTGTTGTTGTTTTGGTTTAAAAATAGCCTCTAGCAGCTACTAAAATATATTAGCGCGTCTATAAATTGTTTTTAACGTTTCGGTTTTTATACCCAGCTACCTTTGAGTGGCCAAAAAGGGTAGTCTAACCGTGCCTAGAGATGTGTCTGATAGCTATGAAAAGTATCTCATAGATACAATCTATGTAGCTCAAGTGAATTCGCACGCTGCAAACCGAACCTCGCTGTTAAAACTAAACAGTGTTGTTAACTGTCGAAAGAAAGTGGTTGACTGCAGTGTTGAAAGCAGCTAAACTAGCTTTATAAACTAAAATAGCTATAAATAGGTTTTCCCAGTACTTTAACTTGTTTAAAATATAAATCGTTTCCGGCTGACGTTCTCTGAAAATAGCTAAAAATGGCTGGAAAACAGCTAGAATTGTCAACACTGGAACTGAGCCGCTTTCTATGCAGCTAAATACGCTTTATAAACACATCTTGATTATCCCCATAATTTAATTTGTTTTAAATTTAAGCCCTTTTGGTCTGACGTTTCTTGAATATATTCACATTTAGCTAGAAAATAGCTGAATAGCTGACAACGCTGAAACTGAGCAGCTTTCTATGCAGCTAAATTGGCTTTTTTTCTTAACACAAATTGACTATGGAGGGTTTATAGTACTTTGATTTCCTTAAAATTTCAACTGTTTTCGGCTTACGTTCTCTGAAAATAGCGACATTTAGCTACAAACTAGCTGTGTTCATAAAAAAACAAATGTATGAACATTTTTGTGGAAAATTTAGATTTTTTTTTTATTTAAAGATTGATGATAATAGTTTTAATGATAAACTACTTTTTAAATACACACACCTTCAGTTTTTATGACGAAACTAGAACTCGAAACTTAATTTTTGAGGCACTTAACAGGGGGCGTACTCGGGTCAAGTGTTGTCAACTTCAGCCTTTGAGCTTTATATATATATATATATATATATATATATATATCTTTATTTGTTGTATCACCTTGCCGATTTCTGGGAACTGTTCTTCAACAAACGCCCCTCGACTGGCCCAGCCCCTAAACCACGAAATTGTCACAGTTTCGGCTTGTTTTGTATTATTTTGCTGCTGCTGCTGCTGCTTACAGTTGCTTCGTGACGACGACAACAACAATTGAGACAACTTATCATGAAGTGCTAATTAACATTGTCTGGTCGGGTCTCGCCATATGCAGTACCTGTCTGGCGACCTACCTGCGGTTACTAAGCTCAACCTGCCGGCCCCAGCCCCACCACACCCATCCACCCCCGATCACGGGCACACAGGCGAAACGCTGCCGTCAGTCGACAGTCGAAATACCAAAAAAAAAAAAAAAAAAAAAAACAACCGCAACTCACCCAAAACTGGCACTTGGTAGCGACGACGTCTGTGTTTGCTTTGGCGTACAATGCGAACGAGCCAAAAAAAAAAAAAAAAAAAAGTACAAAATACAAAAAAAATGTACATGCCAAAAAAAAAAAAACACACACATACACAACAAGTACAGACACTGATCAAAAGTTGCAAATGTTTTTTGAATTGCAATAAAATTGAGCTAAATGATGAAAAGTATTGAAGCAATAAATTCATGCTCTAAAACCAACAACAAAATTTGGATTAATCTTCAAATGAATCTCCTAAAGATCAGTTAAAGCGAGCTAAACACATAAAATTACTTTTCTGCTTATTAGGCTCTGATAAGCTTTCAAAGAGCTTATAAATTACATTTAATAATAGAGCTTTAAGTTACTTTTCGACTTAATAAGCTTTCATGTGCCTTAAAGTTTCCTTTAAAAGCTTTTATATCGCATTCGATGCTAAAGCTTCAACTTAATAAGCTTTCGCGGACCTTAAAGTTCACTTTAAAAGCTTGTATATAGCATTCGATGCTAAAGCTTCAAGCTAATTTTACGGCTCATTAGGTTTAACGGGTCTTAAAATTCCCTAAAAGCACTTTGATATTTTTCATATTTAGATTTTTACTCTGAACCTAAGCTTCAAACACTGCGACGAGCTTTAAACATGCTTAAAGCTCAACCAAGAGCTGCTTGCAATAATCTTAAAGCTCAACAAGTAGCTTTTCAACTACATTTTAGTCTAAAGCCTAGAGCTTACAATATTTAATACAACTTTATGATCTTTCTAAATCAAACTTTAAGCTAAGATTAATTTAAATGCGCCTCAGTTAAATGTTACGTCTAAAAAACGCTTTTAAGTCTTTTTAATAAGGCCCATATATTTCGCAGCCAAATTTTTCTGCCAGTGTACGCAAATATATACATTTTGAAACGCGGCCACAAACGGCGAGACATTTGTTTATGTTGATAATTTAATAAGAGCACCGCTGGAGGGCAATGTATGGCAAGGGGAGCACGTGAAAGCGGCACGGGGGCCAGCACAGATGAGCAGCCAGTTGTTGCGGGCGTCACACGTGACGTATGCGCAATGCCCGCCCGCCTTGCAACTTTTTGCCAATGAGCGATTTCTAGCTGCGTTTGCTGCTGCTGCTACTGCTGCTGCTGGTGCACGTTAATTTGCGAGCACTTGCGCGGCATGCCAAGGTCGGGTTTGTCGGCTGTCGTTGTCTGCATTTATAAATAAATTCGCTGTGTGGCAAATAAATAATTAAATAGATATGCATACATTGTGGGGCGATCGTTGTAATTAAAGGCGCGCATGTCGTATACGTAATTTCAGACACCCCCCCGCCACCTGCCCGGACCCATGGCAGCGATCCTCGCGCCAAAGCTCCTACAGCAAAAAAAAAAAAAAAATAAAAATTGAAGTGAAAAAAAAGAGGAAAAAAGAAATTCAACCGCAGTCAACGTTGTTGTTGACACTTTTGCTGTTAGTCATTATTTGTTGTCGTTGTTGTTCTTTTTGTTGTTGTTGTTGTTGTCGTTGTTGTCGTTGTTGTTGTTGTTGTTGTTGATAAGCAGACTGTGTCGAGACAACAAAAGACGCAGACGATTGCCACTTGCGCACAAATATACAAAGTATGTCCCCCACACACACACACACACACACACACACACGCACACACACACACACACACACACACACACACACACACACACACACACACACACACACACACACACACACACACACACACACACACACACACACACACACACACACACTCGCGCTGATTTGCATGTGTCCCATTGTTGTTGCTCTGATATTTTTAGCCTACCGTCAGCTACTTGAGGCAGCTGCAACTGCCTCGCAAGAGGAAACAAAAAAAAAAGTAAAGAAAGAGTAGCCAAATGCCACAATTGCGTTCGCAATCGCAATTGCATTTTGTCGACAACGGCCCAGACAACGCGTCTAGTCATTCAGTCAGTCAGTCAATCAGTTGATGCACTCGATAAGGTCCTCTATCTCTCTCTCGCTCTCTCTCTCTCTGTCTAACGCGCTCACATGAATCACATGATGAATGACTTTTGCTGTTGCATTGAGCAATCGCTGAATGCATTGATTAGTTCTCCATTTGTAATGCTGAGCAGCCAAAAAAATAAAAATCACTCTAAATGAACAAACAATAGAGGGCAAGTGAGAGCGAGAGAGATAGGTAGGAGGGTCAGTGGAAAGAGAGCGCATGACTTTAGCCATCAATCATAAATGTTAAGACAGCCATTGTCTGGCTGATAGCAACTGCAACAGGTTTTCCGCTTTAGATACTATGGAATATTTAATGTAATTTTTGCTTAATTTTGAGAATTTTGCATACAGAATAAATTAAAAAACTAAATAGAATAACAATTCTTTTCTTTTTCAGCACTTGTGATGGATTTTTCGTCGAGATAATATATATAATATGGCAGGGTAAGTCAAACGTTATTAATATTTTCACAGTATATCATATTTTTAGCATTTGTTTTCTACACTTATTTCGCTGCATATATTCACATCTCTATACATTTTCTCAAGCTTCATAGTGCATTTTTTCACACCAAAATTATACTTAGTTGATTTTCAAATACTTACATCCATTGCGAGCTTTGTGATTTGTGCAATATCATATACAAGGCTTATATTCTATTTCAATTGTATGTTTTATGTTCCAACACTTAAATGATTTCTTATTAATTTACCAACACTTACAGTTGTTGCCAGTTGCATCCTACAAGATTTCTATTTCAATTATAAATTATGCATTTAATTTATGCATAGCTCATTTACTAACACCAAAATTATTTTTCGGGGACTTACTAACACTTACATACTTTGACAGCTTTCTAATTTGTGTAATTATCCTACTTGGCTGTTAGTTGAATTTCAATTAGCAGGTGCTCATTTCATTGACGGTCAAAACTTAGTTGCCTACACCAATAATATCTTTAGTTCATTAACCAACACTTGCTGCCCGAGTTGTTGTAGTAACAATATATCACTTAAATTTCATTTTTATTTGGAGTTACGTATACATTCAATTCTGTGCACTTATTTGCTACACTTTTTTTTTTTTTGCTAATTTACCAACACCAAAAATATGTTTGATTTATTAACCAACACTCGTACGTGCTTCTATATATTATATTGCACTTGTTTGTTTTCATATTGACTGCTCGCTTATGCAAATTTATTCTCCCAGCTTATACGCTGAGCCTCTTTTAGCTAATTTACCAACACCTTAACAAACTGTCATTTAATTTACCAACACTCAAACCGTGGCCCTGTAACCTTACAGCTTCCACGTCGTTAATTACTTTCTGTTGGACACATTTTCTTACTCATGCCGTGGTTAAATCGATTCACTTTGATCTTTCAATGCAAAATTTCGTTATGGGAAGCATTTAATTATGCCATTTATCCATTGTACAATGGGCACAATGGGCAGCGCCTGCTAATGAATTCTCAATGCGTAGCTCAATGGAGCTCATTAAAGGCACGATGAGAGCCAACAACAATGGCCAGCCCAATGGCAACCCGGCTGCAGCTCTGAGTCATAACTCATTGAACTTTTGTCGGCAGCCGACAATTGCAACGGGCTACGGGCTACGGGCAACGGGCAATGGCCACCGTCAGCCACAACATAAAAAATGTCAATCAGCGCCAGCTAACTGATTCCAACCCGATCCGTGCCCCTCAGTGGTCTACATGCTACGAGTGTGATGACGCCTTAAGCACATTAGAAGCGACGCCAAGTGCTGTCAGCAGCCGGCAGAGTCGTAAATGTGGTAATAATAGTCGTCGCCGTGGGGCCCATATTGGTGGGTGTCGAAAGGCAAGACATAAATGTCGAAACATATGTTTAGACGTTGCTCCTCCTTTGTCCAGCACAGCACCGTATAGCACAGCACAGGACAGGTCTATTACCAAGTGCTGCTCATCGTATATGCCGGGAATATTAGACACCCAACGCCAATGGCTTTTGTCTCGTCTATGTCTATGTCTATGTCCATGTGTGTGGTCCAGACGCGGAGCATCTGCTGTAGCTAGCTCGTAAATGGGAAAATATGAAACGCTCAAATGGTTGCCAGCACTTTACCAGTTTGTTGTTTAGTTCATTTTGTCAGTGTTGGAAAACTACCAAAGTGATGCTGCTTTGAGAACTAAAAATGCAATAAAGCTTCCATGTGTTTGAGAAGCTCTTTGCTGAGATTTAGGTGTTGTGTGATTGAGTTTTTCTAAATAACTTACACGTTTTTGTTATGAATTGACTAGCACAATGAACTTTATATCTGTGATTAATCGAAACATAAAGTGATATTTTAAACTAATGTCATTATCATCTCTGAAAGCTCTTTGACCCTGGCTGCAAAGCTTCAAAGATTTCGAATCTTAAAAGATTTCCTTTAATATTTAGGCAACACTCTTTTTAGTCCATAAAGCTTTCACGAGCTTTTGAAAGCTTCTATTTGTTGTTCTCCAGAGTTCTTTTAGAAAACTTATAGTAACAATGACGCTCGCTGACATTCCGTGAAAAATTAAGAAGCTTGCTTGATTTAAAGGAAATGTCAATAAAGCTTTAATGTGCTTTTGAAAGCTTTTGCTTAATTTTGTTTTGTATTTCAATGAAACTGACTTCTTACAGAGAACACACGCTAACAATGACATATGCCGCAATTAATACAAAAGCTTGCTTCATTGAAAGCAAATGTCATTGTAGCATAACTAGTCGAAGAGCAAGCAATATAAAGCTGATTACATTTAATATGATGACAAATGAATAAGGAGGGAAAGGACAACGGCTGCAGCCGAGCAAAGGTAGGAAGCCAACAAGGTAAAGGATACCCAGGACGAGTCAGACAATTCGAAAACTGGGAAGGGGCGCACAAATAAGGTGCTGAAAGTCAAAGACTTGTGCTAACCATAATAGACAACGTGCTCATTATACAAATTGCACCAAGCCGAAAGACAACCCAAGATGAAGCAACTGTAGGGCCTGAAACCCTTAGCGAAAGAAGGTCTCGGTCTGGTCTGGACTGGTCTCCGTCTCTGGTCTCGTCTGGTCGGAATGATGTTGACTCGGTGAATGAAGCGTTGACGGAATGACAGAATTTTTAAGAGAAAACACTCAACGCAATTGGACAACGGACACAAACGGACAAAACAACCTGAATTCAAATTCAAATGAAGCTGAAAGCTAAAAAGAATCTATTAAGATGTTATCAGTCGGAGACTGAGGGCCAAGGAATGAAAACTGCATGCGCTGGCAAGTAGGACGGGGTGCAGGGAAGGGCTTTTGGTTGGGGCAAGAAGTGTAATCAGTGCGACGAAAAGCCGTGCAATTGTTGCAGACGTCAATTTGGGTCGGGGCGGCAGTTAGAGAGAAAGAGAGTGAGAGAGACAAAGAGAGGAGTTAGAGGGAGCGACTGCAGAGCCACAATTGCGGCCATTAGTGCAGAGGCGTGCTGTGAGCAGGGGCAAGAGGGTTAACAGAGGGAACTGTGACGTATCAACCCTTTTGTCGCAGTAGACATTTTTCGTATGACAACGACAAATATTTGCCGGATAATATGAATAACAAAGCAGGCATAGAACAGGGCGGTCGCTGGAAGTGAGCGGGTGGACTGGGGGGAGGGCAAAGGGTGCCCAGACTAGGCAGCCAGGCAGCCAACCTACTTAAGCCAAGACCAGGCACAGACCAGACCCGGCACAGACCAGACGCAGACGCAGACCCAGACCCGACCCGACCCGACCAGACGTTGACTACAACTTAAACTAAAAGGCCGCCTGGGCAAAGTTGTTGTTGTTGTTGTTGCTTGTTGTCGCCGGTGTCTGAGACGCAGACAACTTCAAAATGGAGCTGGAAACTGTTTTGTGCCGGGGAGTAAGCAGGTTATAGGCTGAAGGAGAAGACCAAAGCGGTGCGGGGCGGTGGAAGCCCAGACGTAGACGAATTGCTGACTGACACAAAAGTGCTTTTGTTGCAAGGTTTAATGAACAAGCCAGAGGAGAGAGCAGAGAGAAGCGGCTAGCAAGAGCAAGAGAGAGAGAGAATGGGAGAGAGAGAGAATGGGAGAGAGAGAGAGGGAGATTTGTGAGCGAAAGAGAGCACACGGGGAGCAGCTGTGTCTCATCGAATTATCCAACCATTCAATGTCCTGTGAAATGCACTTCAGGGGGCAGGACCAGAGACTCGGGCCCAGACGTTCGTGACGCAAAGCTAAATGCTGCGACACCCGAATTGTAGGCACGGCCCGATGTCCCATAAGTTCGGCCCCTGGCAAGAGCATGTCAAAGTCTAAAGCCCAAAAAAACCAACTAAAAAACAAAAAAAAAATAAATAAAAGGAGACAAGAAAGGAAAACAACAAAATGTATGCGCAAGCCCAGGCGACTGCAGCGGCGAGCGAGGCTGCTCGACTGAGAGATACCCTCTAAACATGCTTACTTCAGAGCACTTTCAAGAGCTGTGCTTCTTTTTGAGCCCACAATTTGACCAAAACTAGAGTGAACTGAGGCATTATGACGAAAATGGAAATGGAAATCTTCTGTGAAATATATTCTGCTTCTGGTTGTCGATGTATGTATCGATAATGTCGTATGGCTTATCGATAATATGAAATAAACAGTATCGATAATATGAAATATTCTTCTGATTATCTGATATATATACATATGTATCGATAACGTCGCAATGTTTATCGATAATATATTATAAACTAGATCTATGTCAAATATTCTACTGCCTACCGATATGTGTGTTCGATAACAAGGTTTGGCTAACATCGTATGGGTTATCGATAATAGGTAATAAACTAGATCTGCGTAGGCTATATGAGAATCTTATTTTGTAATTACATGTGCCTTTTGTATTTGCCGAAATATAGGTCTAGCTTTCGAGAAAGGATCCTTTGTATCTGATGAGTCTGTAACTTCAGGAGACCCCTTTTTAGCCACTCTCAATGTTTACAGGGTATTGAAAACAAAATAAATGCCAAGCCCAAGCGACTGCAGTGCACAGACACACACACACACACACGGGCAAAAAAATGCATGCTGCGCTCGTTTGGCCCTTCTGCCTACCCCCCCGCCCCGTACCCTGTACGCACCTCTTACTGCTGGTTTCCAGTTTTTGCCCTGCTGCTGCTCCGGCTGCGGCTGCTGCACTTCAGACGCTGCTTTGTTGCAGCCAAGAGCGCCGTCAACGGCGGCGGCCAACAATCGACACACGCAGACAGACAGACAGAGAGAGAGAGAGCCAGGGGTGAATGCTGCATGTGAGCAGGAGAAGAGGGGAGGGGGGGAGGGGAGGTATATATGCAGGCCAGACCGTGGCACAGACAAAACAATATGTTTGTTTGGATTATATCGGAGCTGCGCCGCGCTGCGACACGGACGCGACGCGTTCTTTGTATGCGCAAACAATTGGAGCAGGCGGAAGTTGGATGACGGCGGCGACGGGGCGGGACAGCACAGTCCAAGGGGGATGGGCAGAGGTAGGAGGAGTGAGTGCAGCCGACGCGACGGTTGTCCCGGGCAACCGCCAGAGGAGTGCCAGTCTCGCATGCTTGCAGCTTGCTGCACTTTCCCCCCCACTTGCCCCCTGCTCCCTTACCGCCTTCCCCGGTGCCCGTATCCATCAAGTGCCCAGTCACGACTGCGTCTGGGCAGAAGCACCTTGAAAGTTTTTCGCCTTGCGCCTTGATTAACTGTCAGTGCCTGAAAAGTGATTTAATCAAGGATCCAGGCACAAAACTGGCGGCAACATGTGCACCATATGGCTAACTGTCTGACTAACTGACTCTGTGGGTCCAGATCCAGCTCCAGCTGCAGCAGGAGCTCGGGCCCCATCAGACCAACGACCACATCAATCAACTTGAGACTCAAGTGTGCTGGGCCAGGGACGGAGACGGGAACGGGAACGGGGACGGGAACGGGGACGGCACTAGCCCTGTCGAAAAACCACTTGCATCTGGAGTGAAGTTGTGGAGCTCTCTCGGGCATCATTTAGCTGCCCTCTTGGACTGCAGCTGGGGCAGCTAGGGCATTTCCTCATCTCAACATGTGGCGCGCGCTTTTTGGCGTCTCTCTGGTAGCCTGCAGCCCTGCCCTCATCCAGCGCCTGACATGGCAATCTACGCTTTCAGTGGAGCGTCCACAATTGTCCAGGTGGATCCAAGGGACAAGGGAAATGGCAATCGCAGATAGTTTTGTGTCTAGTATGAGGGTTGCGTTGAGGAATTCACGACAGGGCAAGGTTGGAACCAACCTTAAAGCAAAGCCGATGCCCGAACAAACGAATCTACCCGACACCACGGTCAAAACACAATTATTATTATTTTCATTATAAGTATTATTATGAAAATTATAATTATAATTGTTATTATTATTATTATTATTTTTATTATCATTATCACTATTATTAGCATTATCATTATCATTATCATTATCATTTTCATTATCATTATCATTATCATTATCATTATCATTATCATTATCATTATCATTATCATTATCATTATCATTATCATTATCATTATCATTATCATTATCATTATCATTATCATTATCATTATCATTATCATTATCATTATCATTATTATTATCATTATCATTATCATTATCATTATCA